AATATTTCCTGAAATTGTAGTTTTTAAAATAATATCTTCTTAATTTATTACAACCAAAGTTATGTAAATATTAATATTTGCCTTTAAAATTAACCAAAATATAAAAATACGCCTAAAAATACGAAAATGCATGTCTTTTTAATAGGCTAGATTTCAATTTCCGCAACTGTATATTGACAATACAAATGTCATTTGACTTCTGGCATATGAATTTTTGGTTGCCACACCCAATAAATTGTATTTATTCATCAATATTATTGCAGATTTAACTAAGATTTATATTAAATCTACTACCTTTCGAGATTTAATTTTATATGATAAATCTCAAAAGATTTAACGTTAAATCTGGTCATAGGGCTAAATCTTCATTAAATCTGACAGTGGAGGCATATTATTAGTCAGCTTTCAGACACGTCAAGTCTTGCTTTCAAGTCTGCTCGTTCCAAGGCGAAGGAGGTGAGAAGAGAGGGGAAGAGTACACATACCTCCATACCGTCAATTCGTTTTAAGATTTCTTGTCTCTTTGGATCTTTTCGTTGCTTCCCATTTAAAGAACCAAGAACTTGAATTCAATAAAAGTTGACGCGTCTGGAAGCAAATAGAAAACACAAAAGAGAATGCGAAAAATCAAGACTTGACGTGTCTGAAAGGGGACTTACTCATTTTCTTCTATACAAAGTACAGCAGAATCCGTTTATAACGACTCGGCAAATAACGACCGACCGCTTATAGCGACATAAACACAACCTCAAGTTTGGTTTTTATACAAATTACTATGAAAGTACATCTGTTTGACGACTCCGCTTTAAGCGACGTAATTTATGAATTGTCCAGTTAAAACGACGAGTGTCTTAAAAATTCACAGAAAATTAGAAGCTTCACACAACATGTTGTGACATGTTATGCGGTACCTGAACATCGAAGGCAAATATGGCGCCAGGTCTGGATAATGGTTAGGCCACAGCGACTTTTGTCTTTTTCATTCCAATATTTTCGACAGGCGTCAATTTTGGATTGTCCTGAAGTAAACTATTGCATTCTTGCTCGTCAAAAATACTTTTATTTAAGTAATGTGCACTCGGTAGTTGAAATGTTTTGGTAGCTGGTGAGTGATTACTGATTAGCAGAGAGCAGGGAAACGATTTTATGAAAATTGCCTTTTTTCTGTTAAGAAATAGAGGATATTCGTTTAAGAATGTCCACGATTTAGCTTTCCTGATTCCATATATATACATTTGATGTTGCCTTTTTTTGCCTTTTCTACCTTTAAAAAGGTGATTATAGCGAGGAAAAAGCCCTTATTCCTGATAATATCAAAGTTTCAAAGGTTCCATATTTAAATTGGGCGCCACTTGTATCAACTCATGTCGAGCGCACGTTTAGTACATTCAAGGCTTTTCTTCGCGAGAATCGAATGAAAATCCTGCCAGAAAACTTCAAAATGCATTTTGTGGTTCAATGTTACTACAACTATAGAGATTAAAGTTTTGTGAGTTAAGAACTCGATAGGAGAAAATAGTCAAAGCACAAATTTTTCATATAATGAAACTAGTTCTAGTGATATTAACATTTCTAAAATAAATATAGTTTTTGATTACTATTCAGTTTTTGTATTTTTTTACAACGCTTTTTTAGTGCCTTCTTTTGCCTTTTTTACGATTTCTAGTGCCTATTTCGCAATTTTATTTTGCCTTTTCCAGCCTATTTTGAATTTTTTATACAGTTTTAGGTCCTACAAATCCGTTCCCTGCTGATGAGCAACTACGTGCGCAAAAATGTCCTATAGCAGAATTATAAAAAAAAAAAAAATTAGAAATCAGTTCTGTTTATACGACGCATGAAAAATCCGGTAAAAATATGTTTGGCTATTTTTAGTAAAGCAACCTATTACATATTACATAAAGCAACGTATTTCGAGTATATTAACTATTTTTAAACCGACTTAAAAAAGGAGGAGGTTATCAATTCATCGGAAAATTTTTAATTTTTTTATGTATGTTAGATACTGTTTGATACCGCAGAACTTTAGACCACGTTAACCGATTTCTATAATTCTTTTTTTTTTTTAAAGGAAAGGTGGTACCCCAGAGGTGGTGTCATACTAGTCCCTAGAAGAGAACATAATATTTATTTACATAAAAACCAAACATATTTTTTTTTTACTTTATTTAATAACAAAAACATAATCTATAATCCAGTACTAAAACTAAGTATTGACAAGCGAACAAAAACACCGGCAGTACTTGGGGCAAAGACAAAGAAACGTTGCTGGCAACATACAAGGCAATAGGCCGGCCGGTTTTAAACTACGCAGCACCAGTGTGGTCGCCGGGGACTACACCATTTCCAGTTGTAAATAAGAAAGCGTCAAATGAAATTGCGAAAGCGTCATTTGGAAATGAGAATAATCAATTGTAAATGCGATATCGTCATTTGAAATTGAGAATAGTCAATTGTAAATGAGAAAAGGTCAATTGTAAATAAGAAAACGTCATTTGTAATTGAGAGTAGTTAATTGTAAATGAGAAAGCGTCAAATGAAAATGCGAAATCGTCTTTTGGAATTGAGAATAGTCAGTTGTAAATGAGAAAGCGTCATTTGTAATTGAGAATAGCTTTCTCATTTACAATTGACGGTTTCTCATTTTCAATTGACGCTTTCTCATTTAAAAATGACTATTCTCATTTACAATTGACGCTTTCGCATTTACAACTGGAAATGGTGTAGTAGGACGCAGTGGATGAAGCTACAGACAGTACAAAACACAGCACTTAGGACAGCGACCGGATGCCTCCTGATGTCACCAGAACACCACCTCCACGATGAGGCGAAAATGCTCCCAATCAGGGAGCACAACACGATGCTCTGCAAGCAGTTTCTGGTTGGGAGCCACAGATGTGGCCACCCAAATAGACAGCTGCTTGCAGAGGAACCCTCGCCAAGGCAGGTCAGGAGGCATCTATATGAACTGACGGACGAAGTCCAGAGGTTCATTAAGCAGCCTCTGGACCCGTCAGCTTACAGACAGGCCCTGAACGGCATTCACAGGGACTCAGTCTCGAGTTATGTAGACTCTATGTAGACCTGTGAATGCCGTTCTAGGCACACAAACACCGGACATTGACGCGACGGAGCTCCATCTGCCTCGGGAGACCAGAACAACAATAGCCCAACTTCGCTCTGGCTACTGCAGCAGGCTAAACTCCTACCTGAGTAGGCTAAATGCGGATGTGCCGAATGAATGAATGTCCGGCATGCGGAGAGACCCCTCTTGACTCGAAACATCTCTTCGCATGCCCGGAAAACCCGACAACCCTAACGGCGTCGTCCCTGTGGACCGACCCCATAGAGGATGCACGCTTCTTGGGCTGCCGTTAGTGGAACTCGACGACAACGACTGAGATATCAACCGATCTGGGCGGGGTTGTTGTAGCTGCTACAACAACAACAACAACCAATACTTAAAAATTTTATTAAAAATGCACATAAAAATTGTAAAGGAAGGCCATATTAAAAGCGATTAATTTAAATTTAGTTTTAGATAATATAATTTACCTTCTTCTTCCCTGGCAAAGAGGTTTTTTGTTCAAATTAGTCTTCACTAAAACACAATTACCGAAGAAGCAAATAGAACGATTGAACGCCTCGAAAACTAAAAAAAATCGATCACAACATTAAGGGCCAAATTAACAGTGCGTAGTTAACTCATAATCGGAAGTTAACTACAGGTTTTCAGTACAAAAAATCTGAAGGTAACTGCCGATTCTGAGTTAACTACGCACTGTGAATTTGGCCCTAACTGTTTTCAGGTCGGCGTATGTCACAGGAAAAGCAGCGGGGGAAGTTTTAATGGCTACTTTTCAATAGATCGGTTATTTAATTTTAGGAAAAGTATGTTTAACTCTTGCCAAAGTTGGTAAATCTGACTCTTGACAGGATTTTTCATGTAAATACTCGTATGGGCGACGTCCGGTTAGTACGATGTTTTTTCACCGATCCCTTGCAATCGTTATAACCGGATTCTACTGTATGTTCGAAAAATTTTATAAATGGTGGAAAGTGCAGAACACCGTCAGAAAAAAAAAATATTGTTGAAAATAAATGCGAATTCTTAGCCGTTTCAAATATGCAGTTTATTTTACTAAAATTTATGGGGCTATAAAACTGTATAGGATAAAATTTTATGAAAACTCTGATTGAAAAATTAAAATGTTGATAACGGTTATTCTAAGAGTGGACTGACTAAATATTAATGTTTTTCTTATTGACTTCTTAATACTTCTACTTACTATTAATAAATATCCCATACCTCAATTTGATAAACGAAAAAATTATTACATATTTGGTCTGTTTTTTTGGGTGCCTAATACTTATGGCCAAGGCTGTATGTACATATACGTATTATGCTAAACGGAAGATAGAGATTTGTATAGTTTCTTTATAATTTATACGCACCTATGTATAAACATACGTACACACATACATACTATGTGCATATAATTTGGCAGTTATTTGCTTCCGTCAAAGGGCACGTATTTTTAAATAACTATTTCGTAGCTTTTATATTTTTTAAAATATTCCCAAATTCATTGCCTTACTTTATAACTGCATTCACATACATACTACAAACACATGTACATATATATGTATGTACTGTTATGTATGTATGCACGTCTAAATATGTTTGTTTGCAAATGTCGTGTTATTGTACATTCATAATAAAGAGAATAGTATAGCGTTAAAAATGCATAGTAATTATGAAAAATAGGCGCTTAAGCTAGAGTCCCTCGTATTTCGTTTTCACTCATTAAATATAATATTTACTTCTTTTCTTTTAAAGCTCAGTTAGTCAACGACGTAGCGTAAACGTAGGTTGACGCACGTAGCAGCATATAAAATTTACTGTTGATAGAGAGAGAGAGAAGCAACGGCAACGTCACCGCCATGCGGTGGTGAGTTTTCGTTAACACGCGAATCCCATAAGCTAGATCGTGTCTGCGTCAACCTACGTCTACGCTACGTCGTTGACTGTTTGCGCTTTTACTGTTTTTGCTTTTAATTTTTATGTGAAGCCTTCATTGTTTTCTACTACAACACTTTACACTTAAAAATAGTTGTAATTTTTTAGTTAATTTTTTTAATACGCTGCATTTGTTATTTTGTGTTTTAAATTTTGAATTACATACGTTACTGTTTTGTAGATTTGATTCCTATTTTTTAGTAATTTGTGGTTTTAGTGATTGCGTCTGGTTTCAATTAAATTTTTTATATTTTCTCATTATTTAACTTTACACGGCTTTTACTAAGGTCCACATCTCATTCCTTTGATTCCTTTATATATTAACTTATTTTTGTTTTTTAAATTTGCATTTTCCATCATCATCAATCCATATACGGTTCATATTTACGTCATCAACATCATCGATCTGGCATCTTGTGGTGTTTGCATGCTGGAGTGTTGCATTGAATTTCACGCCTTGGCTCCGGGTATCTTCGACAACACTTTCGATAGATCGACGCCGGTGAGTGCATTTATTGACGGCGGTAATTGTGCTACTAGGCGTGTTACATCGTTTGTTAGATTATCATTGCCGCCAATGAGTACGATCTCATCGGTCTTGGCGAGTGGTGCAGCCACTTCGGCTGCGATCTAAAGGCAAAATGAAGGGAAATAAGAATTAGTTGAAAAAGAAATAAATATTTACATACATATAAGCCATGTTAAAATATATGTAAAGAAATCCCTGCAAATTGAAGTAGTCTGAATGTCAGATATTGAAAATTTTTAGAACACACTTGAGGTCATAATTAAATATCATTTAAAAAAGTTAACTGCTTCCTGAGAAACTAAAAGGAGTTATATATACATTATAATGAGAATGCATTCATGATTTACTGAAAATCTTTCTTTATTCCAGCAAATAAATTGAGTTTTCCAGCTTGAGCTGTCATGGAAAATATGCAAACAAGGAACCCTAAATAAATGTTCCAGAGTGTTCCATAAAAATACTCTATATAATTATTTTCTTTCCATCAACTTGTAGTTCTAGACCAGTGCCCGCCAAACACTTTCCTGGGAAACGAACTATATTCGGCCTTTCACATGTACACAATCGCTTTCTTACACGTACACAATCCGAACGTCAACAGAAAGAGTAGAAGAGCAACAAATTTTATTTAGTTGCATCCAAACAATAGGCGAAGCAGGTTGATGACGCATTATGGTCTGATTATGCATACTTCGCATAACTTCGCACAACTTCGCATAAACTTCAAACTGTAATTTCGTATGTACTTTGTATGTATTTTGTATGTATTCCATTGCCCAGAAATTAGCAGAACTTTTAAAAACTTAGCGATCTGTTGAGTTTAGATTTTGCTTCACATTTTCTTAAGTTACACTTTTAGTGCACTGGTACAAATGGTTGTGCGAAGTTATGCGAAGTATGCATAATCAGACCCTTATTGCTGAATAAAGTAGGTACTCTGAGCAGAATGAATGAATATTCATTCAAAAATTTTATAACACAATTTTTCGTACATACACCCCTAGAAATAGGTATGTATATGGTACCAAGTCGTGCTTTTTCTTCATATTAAAAGAACTTTGTGAATTATGTTTTTTTTTAATACCAGACTAGTCCTCAATTAAAACATACAATATGTTTTGTTATTTATCTTTTGGTTTAATCGTTATTTTAAATTGTTCTTAAATGTCAAGTTTTACCTAATTTTAAAATAATTATATATTAGATATATATATTTTTATATTATTTCTACTTGAAATCAACGAAATTTTCTTTTAATATTCAGAGTGCTCGAAGCACGTTGCCTTTTTTGCTCAGAAATCCACACTTAAATTATAAAAAAATAATAATAATTTTGTACAATACATACAAAATTTTACCAACTTTTTCCTTTCTTAGGGCCGTTAACTTTCATTATATGTTTCTATGTTGTTTAGATCTAAAAAATAGCGCACAATGAAAAAAAACGGCAAAAAAAACATACCATAGTTTTTATAATAAGTAATACAACACAGAAATTTTTTTCGTGCATTACCACCAACACATTCTCATTTTTTGTTTCATAACTAATACATTCTCATTTTAAGACTTTTCTCTTTTTGGCGGGCACTGTTCTAGACCAGACCTGGGCGGCGCCTGCCCGGCGGGCATATTCGCGTATACATACACGCTCTGCTTTAGAAGGCAGCGAAAGCTTCATTCAACCGCACGACTTGTTCGCACACACACAGTGACATCAATTTCTCGCACACTACAAAAATTCTCTGTCGAAGCTGCCCACCTCTGTTCTAGATTAAAGGATGAAGTTTTAATTCAGGTCAGGACATGAAAAATGGCCATCGCAATCCCATGAAATTCGATTAAAAATGCTATTTTGGGTTTGATCAATCCAACTGTTATTGAGAGAAATTAATAATTTTAATTACATATTTATAATTTTTTTTGATTCCAAATGATCACTCGATCACGAATGCCATGCTTCGAATATCGTTTTGAAATATTCAGAAATACCTTAAGAGACTAAGTGAAAAGTGCATTGTTAATATTTTCACTTGGGGAGGAAGAAATACTTAAGTACATAGATTAGGTAGTACGATTCTTTCTGTAGAAAAGGTGCTTGCTGCTCTTCACAAATATGACCAATATGGATGTATCACACAGAGCAAAATATTTTGAAGTGATGCTGAACAACAAACTCATTTGCAGGTTGATTGAGAAGCGAGCAGGATAACCTTGGTGGCCCCCTACGCAGCTGAAATAATGCTGGGCAACAGAAAGGAATTTTAAACGTGACATGACTATTGAATAACTTGTACACGGCTATGATCCGACCGATGCTTGCTTATGGAGCGCTGCTCTTGTGGTCTAAGGATTACCTATATACCTTGTTCAAAAACTAGTGACTGAACATTTTGTTCGTTTTGGTACCTATAGAAACTTTAGTCGAGAACAGAGCTGTTGCCAGCATGAGGAGAGGTCATTCGGATATACCGCCATTCTAAATTTACTCCCATCTGCTGTAAAACCGTTGCCCAACGCCTTTTTCGTACCAAGGAACAACATTTTTTAGTTAAATTAAAAGCAGAATTACTGAGAGTTATCTCTAGTAAGCTCCGCAGGGTTGGAGCTTCACATGTAGGACCAGTATTACCAGGCATATCCCACTTGAAACCATTGAATCAGCATTAAAAATTCCGTCAAATTCACGGATGTCTGCAGGGGCACTGACCAAAAAGATCGTCATACCTTTAAAGAGTTTCTAGCGCAGTTGCCAGGGCGTGAATTCGCAGAATATAGTCATGCAATAATTGTAGAATTTCTATTTTCAAAACTAGCTAAGGGAACGGGGATGGAGCCCATTTAAAATTTTTTGAATTTCATCATCAGCCGCTTATTTATGTAATACTTATTAGGTTTGTTCCATATGCTTTCCGGGCTTTTCGGTAATTAGAGCGTAAAAATAAGCTACTCTCTTACAAGTGTCAAAAATGTGTCAACACGTGCCCAGAGCGTGAGGAACGCAAAAAACTACATTTCGTGCAAAAAGTCAACCAATCAGCTTTAAACAATAATTTTATGTGTATCTATCTTATGTGGCTAATAAAATTAGCAAATACCTACATTTCTGAAAGTTTCGTGCTATTTTCCATTTTTATATTTTACAAAATTTGCTTTCGGATGCAAGCAAACAACAGCTGTTCTTTCAAATTGACTTCTTACACATTTCTGCCCTCAAAAAAGGGTTGTTTCGGGCACGAAGAAGAAGATATTTACGATCCAATAGTGGGAGGTATTCGCTCTCTATTGCCCATTTTTCTAGCGTGAGGAACGCTTTATGGGCTGTTTTTGGCACCCGCGGGCTCGTGTGGAGCAAACATATAGCTACATTTGCATTTTCCCGAAGCAGTGAAAGATTTATGAGGTATTTAGCAAAGCTAAAGTAGACCATTTTATGAGTTTTACATTAAAGCATTCACATACCTCAAACAAATACTACGTTTATACGCACAGAATAATCGACTTAATTGAAAGCGCATTGACACCGTACACATTTCGCTCTAGTGTTTATACTTACGGCTTTATATCAGCATCAAAGTAACCGTCTTCAAAAGCAAACAAAATCAGCTGTTTTCATTTGAAATTTTATAAGTTAACATAATGGAAAGTGATAAAAATCTAGTTTTATTCGGCATTATAAAATCGTGGCAAAGAAAACGAACGGTTATTATTAATCAGCTTCTAAATACTGATGCGATTATTTGGAATTTGAGCGGAACAGCTGATCTCCAATTCGCTTTGTGTGAGAGCGGTGTTTATACACTCTTTCTGTCTGGAGAAATAAACTACCGATTTGAAATGGAGTGTGAGCCAAAACACTTCGCTCTTTCAAGGCACATTAAACAGGTAGTATCAGTAGAGCAAAAACAACATTTGCTTGTATTTTGTTGTTGCTTCTGGTATCGAAAGTGTCAAAAACTGTTCTGAATTTTTTCTTCTAAATCAAAGCGTGCCATGTGAAATACAAAAAATTATAAAAAATAAAAAATTTAAATTGGAAAAAATAAAAATTGATGCAACTTTCTTTCCTAGTAAATTTGTTTGCTTCTCGAATCATTGATCCATCCTTTGCAAGGCCCAGTAATCAGCGGTCCTGCTGCCGAGTTGGGCGAACGTTCCAAAAGCTGCTATTCAATCGCTTGTTTTGTATGGAAAAAGGTTTCACATGCAAATGGATTTTAACAATTCAGAATTTTTGTGAGAAAAAATTTAAAATATTTGACATTTTCGAGACCAAATAATTTGAAAATAAATCAAATCAGCTGCTCTACTGATACTACCTGTTCAATGTACCTTGGTTTATACATATGTTTTGAACCGCGGCGAAATGAATTAAAGCGCCTTATGCATGCGTATAAACGTAGTAAAAGATTGACTCAAAATTCGGTCAGTAAGAATTTATGACAGCTTGAAAGCCCTTAAAACAAATACTAGTATAATACACATAGTTCCACTCACCTTAGGCAGTGACTCGAGTACAATGTTCATAATGGCTGCATCGCCATATTGTTTATAGACATGTGCCTTCATCCGCATGCGCTCAGCCTCCGCTTTGCCCACCAATTCGATGGCGTGAGCCTCAGCTGAACCAATTTTACGTATTTTTTCGGCCTCAGCGCGGGCAGCCTCAATCGTTTGGCATCTTTAGAAAAAAAAAACAAAAGTGAAATAATGATCGATTAGAAATTTTTACTCAACGCAAAAGTATTTGCGCCCACTCACTGTTTGCCCTGTGCTATAGTTTGCACACGATGTGCCTCCGCTTCGGCTGGCAGTTTAACGGTACCCATCAGTTCGCGTTCCTTGCGTTGCACTTCCTGTGCTTCGATTTCGATTTGTTTACGTCGTTCGACTACTTCGATTTGTATCTCCTCGTTACGTATTCTCTGGCGTATCTTGGCTGCTTGCAGTTCATAGGCCAATTGCGATTCAGCCTTCGCTGTGTTGATCTCTTGATCAAAGTTAGCCTTCTGCAACTTATACATACGGGAATTGTCCTCGATTTTAGTATCCGTGGAGTATTTCACGTCCATGGCGCTTTTCTCGCATTCTGCTTCGCGTATGCCGGCGTCACGATTAGCTTCGGCCACGCCCGCATCAGCATCGCGCTTAACGCTCGCCGTTTGCGCCTTGCCCAACGAGGCCAAGTATTGCACCTCATCGTAGACATCTTTGATGGTGAATGAGAGTATTTCAATGCCCATGCGGCCGACATCAGGTGCGGCCACCTCGCGCACCAGCGCTGCGAATTGGTCGCGATCTTTGTAGACCTCTTCGACTGTAAGCGTTCCTGTAATAGGGGAAGAAGAGGGCAAATGATTATAAGTATGTAAGTAGATGATTTTTAATTTGAAAGTTTTAAATTAATTGTTATATATGAGTAGACGACAACTAACACAAGCCTCACCGAATATCAATGCATCGCCAAAAAGTTACTGTTTGTTCTGAAATTTAGCTTGGATATGTCGCTTGTCTGTACTTTTTGGAAAAAACCGTTGGAGTAGCCATCACTGCCAACGGAAAATGCTACAGAACTATGGCAACTGATTTATTCTGACCCAAAATTAAACGACATGGACACATGCTTGTCCGGAAGGCTAAAGAAATAACATAAGGGCATGAATCACGTATGACGACAATCGTCTGGACGATATCGTGTTGAGATTGTATTGCTTCATTTAAACCAAAAAATGTTTGATCGTTTGTGCGATATCGTCAAGTCGACTAAACAAATACATGAATCAGTGTTTTGACGACATCGTTTAGTTAGTATAGTTTGAACGACTATCATTTCAAAGTTACGTGATTCATGCCCAGATTGCGAACCAAGTTTTTGTGCCGCGATTAAGAAGCCACATATACAAACTCGGGATTTGTTGAAATTTTTGAGCACCTGCTTCCCGAATGCAGTATACAGAAAGCGGAAGAAATATCTCGCGTATTTTAGCCGGAATCAAAAGAAAATATACTCAGTATCACCAAACAACCTATTGAATTTCCTAAGGGAGTTAAGAATTAACGAGGTGTTGTAAGGAGCAAAAGGGCACAATAGACCTACAGGTCGCAGCGCATTCATCAACAAATACAAATCTGTATGAAGCGAATCCTAGAACTATGTATTTATGGTGTTGTTTGCTTTTTTGGCTGAAGACCTGTGTAATATGAATTCTTCTAAGTAGCTAGGTAGCATACAATAAGCGGTTTTTCGCCATTTTGATGCACTTCTCTCGGGAAATATTTTGTCTAGGTAAATTCTATATTGTTTGGTCGAGCTATCTGGATATGCTGGTGGATTTACCTTCCCCGCTTATTGTACCTCTGCTAATTAGTACACTATTAGAGATGAGCACGGCACTAAATATTCAATCCCGATCCCGCCCATCCGAAATTCCAGTTTTAAGTCTCGAATTCGCCCATACCGCCGTTTTTCACAATAGTACCGCAGGTATCGTGGGTCCCGAAATCTATCACTAAGAAAAATAATGAAACATCTGGCATCTTCCA